AGCTCCAGCAGGCTTTGTAGATCCCTTTGATGCCCTACAGACTACTATTTAGTGCAGCTGCAGACCCTGATGTATCTGTAACTACTTTGGGTGGATCATGTGATCACCGTGATTAATGAATTATGAAAATAAAGCGCAGCAACAAGCTTTCCTGCCTGCTCTGTGACACAGCCGCTTCAGCAGTAAAGAGAGGGCCCATTGACACCAATTGTGCTGCGTTCCAGAGCGGTAGCTGCTGGAACACACAGCAATCGCGCCGAGGCGGTGCATTGAAGTCAATGGCACGGCCCCCTGCCCGCAGTGCGATTGGACGCGTGGCAAAACATTGCCTGCGTTCCGGTCCATTGCGAACGCAAAAATTGCTGCATGCTCTTGCAGTGGACCGGAAAGTAGGCAATGTTTTGCCACGCGTCTGATTGCACTGTGGGCATGGCTGCAGTGCCACTGACTTCAATGCACCGCCACGCCCCCTCCCGCCCCAGAACGAACAGGGAAGTTTTGTGAGCGATTGGAACGCACCGCAATTGGTGTGAATGGACCCTTAGTGAAAATATTTTGAATTATATGAATTTTACAAAAAAAGATGTATTTCAATGACTAAATATACATTTAATTTTGTGTATTTAATTACTTGCTAACCCCCCCCCCACCAGAAAAACATCTTATGTATGGCCAGCCATAGCCAGGTAAAACTGAGGAATCACAGCATTGGGCACCTGCTGTAAAAGCAGCTTGTACAATAAATGAATGTAACCCCGGGACATAAACAACATGACTCACACAAAAGAATCAAACAGTCCCCTGAGACCAAAATGATACTGTATAAAGCCTCACGGGACTCTCTGATCTTAGAGAGAAAACAGCTGGAACATGAAATTCAGAGCTAGTAAAATTGCCATCTAGAGACTGAATTCAATCGCAGACTTCTTACCTGTTGGGAATAGCCTCGAAAGGTTGGGTTTACCATCTTTATGCCTTGGAACAAGTTAGTAGGTATAACAGAGCCAGGCCTGAGTAGAGGAATAAAAGTACACAAGACCAGGGAAGGAATTTTTAGTTCATTAAAGAATTGAATTAGAAGACATGCTACACATTGTTAGGCTTATTTAAAGTGACACGAAACTCAGGAGTTAAATCTTCAAAATACATTCAAGTACCTGAACTATTAACAAAAATGTATCTGATTTCTTTATCTCTCGGCTATAGATCCTTAAATCATCTCTGAATTGGTGCCGACAATGTCCATCCTTCTGGAGGGTGGCTACTTTTGTTCCCCGTGGTCCCTGTGTGTGTTGTAAAGTAGTCACCGCTCCAAGCTCACTCCTGTAATGGACTACAATCTCACGTTTAGTTTGCCCATTTGCATTGAGATTGTAGTCCATCCCGGGAGTGAGCTTGATGCGGTGACTACTTTAAAAACATACACAGGGACCATGGAGAATAAAAGTAGCCCCCCCTCCAGAAGGAAGGACAGTGTCAGCACCACTTCAGAGATGATTTGAGGATCTACAGCCGAGTGATACACAAATAAGATACATTTTTGTTCATAGTTAGGGTACTTGAATGTATTTTTAAGATGTACTCCCGAGTTTAGTGTCACTTTAATAAGACAATAAAGTAATAATGGTGTGCAAAGTGCAGGAATGTAGAACCACCATTAGAACAACAATCTGCTCATAGAAAGAATGCTTCTTGCATTGCCTTAATGAATCAGCCTTTGTGCGATATTAGTGGAGCCAGTAGTATGTACATTCATTGACAGGGAACTGGGATCATAAGTTGGATCTACCTGTTCTTGTGCCAGATTTCGCTCATCAGTTTCTGGTAACTCTTACAGAGAGCTGGCTTCTTATCAGTGCGGGCCAGACCACCACAGTCAAGGAAGAAATATGTAAGGGGAGGACTGTGAAGAAAAATATTGAGAATCAACAAAAATGTCTTTCTCCATAGAGCAGAAACAGAGAATGCAAACTACCCATTCCCAAAGTGAGCCTGTCAGCCACTTACCATGCATACATGTAAAACCCAGTCTTAGACAATAACCAATAATAAGTAAAACCTCAATGTGCTTCTCTTAAGGGCCCGTGTTGACTGGCCTTTGTTCATGTCAAACAAGTTTTACATTTCTATTCAAGTCTATATAGATTGAGAACCCACGTGAAGCAAGCCAAATGCAGGTTAGGTCAACTGCACGTCAAATCCACCTGTCAGAAGTGTCTCACACTGATGCCATTGACACTAGCTCTAAAACTGGTTTCTGTGTTACTTTGGGTCCCTCTGTCTAATAGGGCTGCCTGCATGGCCAAAAATGAAACTCTAATTTGACAGGGGGATGTAAATTGTCAGTGCTCAGCCCTGAAGTCAAGCCTCCAGTAAAAGTTAAACTAGTGTAGCTCAAAAATCTTCTTAGTGCCTGGCCTGCCTAGAGCCAAGCAGTATATAAGGTCTATAGTGCCCCATATTTTTGGTCCTGGTGCATGCTCTGGATGCTAGAGAACACTGACCAGCCTGCATTTAGGACCCCGTGCACTGGGCAGACACCAGTCTCTATTACAAAGGTCCATCATATGCTTAGAGGAGAATTATGGGGTGAGTGAAATACACTCATCCCCATAATTCAAGCCGACCTGTGACATTAAAGCTGTCACAGGTCGGCTCTATTGAACGGGAAGTCAGCGAACACACACCGTCGATTGGCGACTTCCCGATCCTCTCCCTGCAGAGAGTGGTGCCTATTAGTCACCGCAGGGATTCTTCCCATCTCCTCTCTGTTTCTCTAGCGCTGACTGGAGGGACAGACGGGAAGGGGGCGGGCACAGCTGGCTCTGCTTCTAGAGGGACAGAGCCAACTGTCAATCAGCCAGCGGGGTGGATCTCGACAGTATTGTCGGGATCTGTCCCGGCTGCAGCGCAGCTCGGCACTCTCAGCATATAGCGGGCTATACTGAGTGTTCGGGTCACCAGTGCACATTAGAATATGTCCTCCCGTGACCTTGAAGAGAACTATAGTCAAAAAAGTTGCCCCCAAATTAAAAATCGGGAAGATGCTTGAAGTGAGCAGAGAAAGCCCTGTGCAAGCTCTCAACAGCTGTAATCTGAGCTTACACAGGGCTGAGGACTGACGCCCACCTCCATGTGACAGCTGTGGTCCAATCATCAAACAGCAGAGCAACCACATGAGAGGAAGGGTAGCTAGCCACATGTCCCACAGTATCTGAGGGGTAATTTCTTTACATCCAGAAGCTGACTAGAGCAGAGGGGAAATGAAGGAAGGGTGCACCCGTGCTGCTTAGGAGGATGGACATTAAGGCTTACCAGTTGGACAAGGCCTGCAGAGCGGCGTTCATGTAACACGTATTGCCAATGTTCTTTAGTCCGGTGAGGCCTAAAAATTATACAAAAACTGGTCATTACTATAACAGGAATTATTAAGGTACCGTCCAATCAACAGAGACTGAAAAACAGACAAGAATAATAGATTCATGAAATATATATATATATATCCAACGGAGATGCACTCAATGCACTCAAAACGGATATGTTAGCCATTGTGAATACAAAGCCAGTTTCTTATATTACTTTAGACACTGGAACTTCCCTTAGTTTTTCACTCTTCCCATTCCTGTCAGAGTCTTACTCTTCCCGCTGTATTCTGAATCATTTAGGACAAATGAAAATATTACAGAAAGGCGCATGATCCCCTTATGAAGTCTCCCAGACCGCAGAGGAGGAAACCTGGGTGCAGAAGTCTCTCCATGGAACCACTGAAAATGATAGCCAGTGGATGACTCCCAAAATGGGAGGTGAGTGGGAACCACACATCAGCAGTTGCCACCTGTGTACAGAGTGAAATGAAACAATTATGTAATAAAGGAACCGAGGTGTGACTGCCAGAAGTGCCTGCAGCTCTAAATCCTTGGCAGATAGCACAAACTGGTAGAAACTGAAGTGACTGGAGCTCAGCTTGACAACCAAATGGCCAAAATACCAGCTGCTTACTTAAAGTGACCCTATTAAACCCTCAGATTTTTTAACATAAACTAATACTGTAATGTGTGCCTTACTGTAATCCATGGTTGTTTCCCTTCTCTTTGCAGCAGACTGCCTTGTCTCAGGAATGTTTACATGGTGTCTGTGAGAAGGTTCACAACCTGAGCCAGCACTACAGGAAGAGGCACTCAGCTGCAAAGGGAAGTTCTCCCCAAGCATGAGAAGAGATACAGATTTAAAAGGAAGAGCAGCAAAGAGAAGGGAAACAACCATGGATTACAGTAAGGCGCACATTACAGTATTGGTTTATGTTAAAAAATCTGAGGGTTTAATGTCACTTTAATTGTAGCTTTGGTATAATCATCCTTTATTCATATCCCCCCAACCCCCATGAATGTTGCTCGCCTGGACAAATGCTTACCTTCCTCCTCGATCCAGCGGTCTTTCCTGTGCAGCCCTGCCAGTGTGGAAGAGGCCTTTCGGCGAAAACATCCACTTCTTAATATGCATGTGCATGGCAGCCCCATTCATCCCAATGGGTAAGTTGTACTCTACTAGACCAATGTCTGCATGCCTGGGAAGATAGAAGACAGAAATCGCCAGCACTCAATGATATCATTCAATATGTCCATTTATTGGACAAATCGTCACAGCGAAAAAAGCCAACGTTTCGGGGCCACAAAGATTTGGTCACATCTTTTCGCCCTGATGAAGGGACCCTGTGTGGCCCCGAAACGTTGGCTTTTTTCACTGCAACGATTTGTCCAATAAATGGACATATTGAATGATATCATTGAGTGCTGGCGATTTCTGTCTTCTATCTTGTGTTTGCACAGCACCATCCATGGCCATCACTGCAAGCACCATCTTTTGTATAGGCAGGGAACATAGTGAGGAGTGCGGAGGGACTCTCTATCTACCTGTATGCGTGGGAAGGCCGCACAGTGAAGATGACTGGATTGAGGAGGAAGGTAAGCATTTGTCCAGGTGGTTCCTTCCATGGATATTGTTGTGGTTGTTCCTTGAATATAGTGCTAGTCGCTGTGTGTGGCTAGTGGTCATCATTCCCACGCTATAGTGGTGGTGAATCCTTGGGTTTTCTGGAGGTGCATCTCTAGCTGTGTTAGTCCTATCTCCTTGTGAAGTTTCACTGGTTGTAACAGTATTTGCTCACTGTGACCAGCGTGGTGGTCACCATTCTGTTAAAAGAAACACTGTCACCGTGTTAATGCAGGGCATTCCCTCAAAGTTATTCACTGCTCTGCAGCTGGCAAGAATACTTGACACTTCCAGGTATGGAGGAACACGTGACCTCTTCTCCTGGGATGCTAGCTGGGCCTAGCAGCCAACTGCTAGGCCAGAGCACTGTTACTTGACCTACAAGTGAGTTTTTATAGTGTAATTTCCGGAGTTCAGCTTTAGGCCTCATTCACACTGCTAAGAGCCGGCCTGCACAGATCCGTGCAGCGTGCACGGCCGCTCCCGGGAAGGACAGGTGCTGCGTGTGATTGTACACAGCAGCCTGTTCTTCTCTATGGGAGTACGCGGCTGGATCCATCCTGTCTGCATACGAGTACGGACACCCACATCCGCACGGATGTGCAGCTCGGGTGAGCGTACGGCGGCGTACAGCCGCGTACTCCAATAGAGAAGAACAGGCTGCTGTGTACAATCACACACAGCACCTGTCCTTCCAGGGAGCGGCCCGATGCGGCCGTGCACGCTGCACGGATCTGTACAGGCTTTCTCTTAGCAGTGTGAATGAGGCCTAAATGTTGGTCCTTTACCTGGTTGCTCCTCCAGCACTGCATAGCACTTCCTTCCCAGACTGCATATCTCAGAATTCTGGCCTTTAATAAATGACAAATCTTCAGCCTAAGAAAGAGCAGATTAGAAGGGAGAGATAGAGCAGTGTGCTGCTAGAGCGAGAGGCCAACAAACTGACAAAAGGAACGAGGAGGACCTGACGTGAACTAGCTAGAAGGCCTGTTGATTTCTTAGCACTGCATTTGGGCATCCAGCATATTCTGGACATATATACACACAAATAAATATACATACACACATGTACAGGGTTATTCACTAAAGGGTGAAGAGTTTGGGGAAGGCAGGAGAAGTGAACAATATAGGCCAACATAACTGAACTTGAAAGTGAGCTGAATTGGAGAATTTTTCCAAATCAGCGATGTTGTCCTAGATTGTTCCCTTCTCCAAACTCTTCACCCTTTTTTTGTGAACAACCCTGTTAGTGTGTCATCATCAAGTGCCTTTCAGTGTTATGACAGGAGTTTGGTTCTTTTTTAAAACCAGCAATGTAAACTCACCTCTAGTCTTTAGCTCATCCTCCTCTTCCAGTTCCACGTCTAGGTTATCATAAACCACTGCTGGTGGGGTTTTCAATGTAAGGTTTGTGGTCATTTTTATATCCTTTGGAAAGAAAAAAGTATTTAAAAAAATGTGTAAGTGAGTACTTTATTATATGAACATAGAATGGAAAACATTCAGCATTCCTCCGGCTCCTAAAGCTTCCTCATTTTACAAAATAAAGCCTCAGAGAGGAAGACAAAAAAACTGTGCAGAAATATTCAGTGTTTTCTTGCCAAAATGTAAAACAAAGCAGATATTGCAGCGGTTCAGATATGGTGTGTGGGCACCTGGATGTGCCAGCTTTCCATTTTAAGGTTTTACGAAACTACCCATAGGTGCACTTTCAAGTGTATCTATGCTCTGCCCATGATAAGCAAAGCAAAACATTAATTCAGCTACCACCCTCCCCACCATATCTATTCAACTACCACCCTCCCCACCATACCGATTCAACTACCACCCTCCCCACCATACCTATTCAACTACCACCCTCCCCACCATACCGATTCAACTACCATCCTCCCCACCATACCTATTTAACCACCACCCTCCCCACCATACCGATTCAACTACCACCCTCCCCACCATACCTATTTAACCACCACCCGCTCCACCACCACACGTTTGCCATCCTTTCATTGCCCCCCGATGTTCTGTCTGGCCAGAGAGCAATGCTGACCTTGCACCAGTAGAATTTTTTCAAACAAAATAAATAATTTTGGGAATGTTTCTTGGATTTTCTAATAGTTATTGGGTATAGTTTCTAATAGTTAATAGAAATAGTCAAATTGACAATCTCAACTCTAGTGACGAAAAAAGGATGACATTTTCTTTTCTTGAACAAACTAAATACTAACAGTAAATGTGTTTTTTCATTTGGGGAAACTCCATTCATTTTAAAATCAAATGTTAAAACCAAAGCAAATTTCTAACGAATTTCACCAAGTCTTTGATGGCACTATCGAATGTTCTGACGAGATCTTTTTGCATGAACATTTGTAGGAAAATTTGCCAGTGTATGGCCAGCTTAAGCTCTGGGTGAGCTCCAAATCATGATTTGAAGCAAAGGGCTGAGGACTTAAGCACACACACAATGTGGCATTGGTGAGTGCATGAGCAACCAAGCACCAGAACTATCACATTGGAAGAAAGGAAAGGGGGCCACATGCTCTCTTATAGTATATTTGGAATTAGCAGGTAATTCCCTTTGCTTATAGACACTGAACAGTGTGATGGATGCGAAAATGAATGTTTTATGCAGCTGGAAGGCCAGCACTTGAGAACCTGCTGTTCTGTCCTGCATGGGCAAGGTACAGATTCACTTTAAGGGAATAAATGTGAGAACATTAAGTTATTGTAATATTCACCCATTTGCTTTTGAATAGGGTAGGAGAGGATATCCTGCACAGTATAATCTGTTTATCATATGCAGATTAAATGCTCCATTTAGATGTCACCTCCATATCATTGATAGCAATACAAACCCACTGTCCTTACCTAGTTATCCACATACAAAGTCTATTGTACTGAATTGGATCAGACCGCACTGACGTGAATTAAGAGCGTGTAATAGTAAGGCCATTGTGTAGCACCAGGAAGCACAGCCTGCATATCTGATGAGCAAATACGTCAACAAGGTTTTCAAAACATTAGACTCCTATTGTTAAGATGATTTAAATTGCGCGGAAACGAATGGTTGGTTTTGATAGGCCCTCATGCTGCCTTCTTGTTGGTAACTCTAAAGAGATAGTGCAATCAAACTCTATCATGTGTGGCCAGTTTAAAAGGTCAGTCCGCCCCATACATTTTTTAAGTTCTTGGTAGCAGCTGGAGAGTTAACTCAGTAAAAGGTTTCTTACACCTTTTAGGAGCTCCAGGGGTAATTTGTCTGTGAAGGTTCTCATTCATCCATGTCATGGTATATCTACCAGGAACACTTCTTTGCTGCAGGTGTAACACCAGACGCGAAGTGTGGTGAGGTTCACAGTGAGGCAATGCTTGGTGTCCTGAAAAAGATGCAGAAAAGATAATACCCAGATAATCAATCTGAAAGAAGAGAGATCTTACAAGCAAGGTGGAAGATTGGTATTTCACATCATAAAAGTAAACATCAAAGTAGATAAACTCTAACTGGTCTCCGAGCTACTTCCTGTTTATATGTACTCCATTGCTAGCTGCATGATGGCTGCATGTTATTTCTCAGATTCAGATTTACTTATGGTGACAACAGTGGACTACGCCTAATGTCTGTGGAAACAGCTACTTGTAGTCTCCATCGGAAGCCAATTGAGTTTACATATAATACACATACTTTAAAGTGTGACCACAACCCAGTAGGGGAATACACAGATGTAATACATGCACAGAGGAGGTGCTTTTCCTTCCTTCTTTAGTTCCACCTTTGCAGTCACATTTGAGAAAACCCCACTAAATATTGGTTCTGCATTCACACAGAATATCCAACAATAGTTTAAAAAATATATATATATTTGTTACCTTTTAGCTGTTTCTTTGGTGAAGGCCTGTATGCAGATTCCAAGATCAAGCAGTTTCACTATAGTGTCAGACTGAGGGGTCAGACGGAGCTCCCTCACCTAACACACAATGCCTCAAAGGCTTTAAACCTTTGTTAGGACGAACAGTGCTTACAACTGACAATGACATCTGCCAGAACAGTACAGACGGGGTTAATAAGAGTAAACATAACTCGGCACAGCCCCCCTCCTTAAAGTGACACCAAACTCTGGAGTTAAATCCCAAAAATGCATTCAAGTACCTTAATTATGAATAAAAATGTAACTTATTTGTGTATCACTCGGCTGTAGATCCTCAAATCATCTCTGAATTGGTGCTGACACTGTCCTTCCTTCTGGAGGGGGGGCTACTTTTGTTCCCCATGGTCCCTGTGTGTGATGAAAAGTAGCCACCACCCCAAGCTCCTTGTGATGGACTACAATCTCAATACAAATTAGTAGGAATACACCTAAACCGATACTAGTATCGGTGCTGATGCCGAGTATTTGGCCGAGTACTCGTACAATGTTCCAATGCTTAGCCCAATACTTCCGTTATCAGGAAGCCGGGCAGCGAGTCAATACATGCTGTCCGGCTTCCTGATTGGCCGGGAAGCCGACTCCATGTTTCCTCGTCACTTGGAGCCGTCTTCCTGATTCGTCGGGAAGCTGGCCAATCAGGAAGCCGGCCGCTGTGTAATGACGCAGCGCCCGGCTTTCTGATTGGCTGGGAAGTCGGCTTCATGCTCCTTTGTCACCTCATGACAAGGGAGCATGGAGCCGGCTTCCCGGCCAATCAGGAAGCTGCGTCATTACATGGTGCCCGGCTTCCTGATTGCCCAGAAAGCCGTCTCCATGCTTTCTCGTCACCTAGTGGTGAGAAGCATGGGGACTGCTAATTAGGAACCCAGGTGGTGAGTCATTAAATGCCACCTGGCTTCCTTAATGGGACTTCTTGTATCAATATTTGGTATCGGCGAGTACCGAAAATAATATTGTTACTCGTACCGAAATACCGGTATTGGTGCATCCCTACAAGTTAGTAAACTAAACTTGTGATTGTAGTCCATCGCGGAAGTGAGCTTGGAGCGGTGACTATTTTACAACACACAGGGACCATGGGGAACAAAAGTAGCCCCCCTCCGGAAGGAAGGACAGTGTCAGCACCAATTCAGAGATGATTGGAGGATCTACAGCCGAGTGATACCATTTTTCTTAATAGTTACAGGTACCTGGATGCATGTTTAAGATTTCACTCCTGAGTTTGGTGTCACTTTAACATTACGTAGGGGGAGGCTAGATAGGTCTTTAAAGCAAGTATAAAGCATTTCAAAATGTAAGCAGCAATTTCTTAATTTTGATTTAAGTTATGCCATGTGTCTGCTTTGACAGATTAGGTGTTTGCCCAGTATACCATGACTCCTTTACACCCTTTAAGTGCCTGAGTTTTATGTGCTATTTTGGCTCACATATGGCGCCATGTATTAATGTCTTTGGATGTCACTGTCAGACCACAGATGTTTTATTCTCATCCTCGTCTCCCGATGTCTTGTCTTTTTACGTATTACGTTTTGATACAAATATTTTGAACCATGTTAAAAATGCTAATAAAAACTGATTCAACAGTAAGGTATGCCATGTGAATGAGAACATAAAACAAATATAAAAGTTGGCATTACCACAATTTGGCTGCAAAAGTGGAAATACGCTTTAAGATTACAACATGAAAAATAAGTATAAAAGATAATACATAGACTGCCACAGGCAAACTCTACTACCGGTACTGAAAATGGCTGACTGCCTGTTATAATGATTCAAAGGCTTCAACAATTTGAGTCGCTCGACTGAAACAAGTGTTCAGATCATGAGATGTGACTTTTCTCAGATTTCACTAGTTGTCTTCTTGTTAAGTGTCAGTGACTGAAAAATATCGAGGACAAAGTTAGCCCTGCAAGTAGCATTTTCCAAATAGCAATGGCGCCCCTTGTATATGTCTTAGTACAGGATTCCTATAATTAGGGTGTCAATCCTAAGAGATTAGCACTCATGTCAGGCGGGGACAGGTGCTCTTCCTTCCAATAAACTATCATACACAGCAAATCCCCTGAGAGCGGTCTGATTGCATCAGCAAACACACACAGTGCTGGAAAATTACAGCAGGTTTCGCCAGACACAGGAAGCTGGCCTATTGCCCAATCAGTGTTTCTTAAATACTCTTCAGGAAAGATTATTTATCCCAAACCACCAGACCCATATTCAGGCTTCACTGGAAACATAGATTAAAAATCTGGCCGTGGTTACTTAAAGTGGAACTACCGTATGAGTAATATCCAAAATAATATAACTGATGCTGTGTTTACTGTTATCCGAGGCTCTGTAAGAAAGATTTAGGGTGGACTCACACCATACCTTTGCGTTAATCGTATGGTTCTGTGTGATTAATGCATGCCACTGCACAACGTTGCTACTATGCGTTGCAGTACAGGGGTGCGTTGCATCGGTATTAATTTGAATGGCACCCCGAGAGCACCTACAACCGCAATGTGCCTGACCACACCGCAGTCTGGCGCACCCTCATGCATGCAGTACTTCTTTTTAGCCGCGATGCAGAGCATCACAGTACCGCCCGGTCAAGCGCATTGCGGCCGGAGAGGCACTTGGGTGGCATCCAAATGAATGGCAACGCGCCTCCCGTACTGTAACAGGTGGGGTGCATGGTAGCGTGACTTCCTGTCCTGCTGACATTGTTTTACTCAACAGGAAGTGGGGGAAACAATTCATCACCAACAGAAATAAGAAATATTTTTCTTTAGAAGTTAAAGAATCGGTTGCAGATTTTCCCTCACTTCCTCTTTGGTGAAACCGTTGTCGACTGGACAGGAAATAAGACTTGATTTCTCTAACATAGCAATAAACCTTATTCCATCCAAAACTATTTTTTTTAAAAACAGTTTTGGCTTCACATACGCTTTAGCAGCATTTTTTATTTTCCTGAGTCCCCAATGTAACACAGTTTGATTTCCTGTTGATCCTGCCAGGGATTAGGAGAAACCATTTACCACTGACAGGGGGGCTTACAATGGTCAGCTTTTATTTGGATGGATTAAACCTTGTTTACAGAAAAACAACCTGTTATAATGGTTTAAAAGGTAAGCCGGAGTCAAGCTTTACCTAGTGTCTTACGTAAAGGCCATTTAAAACTACACGCCCATGAAGGACTATCCTGTCCACAGGGTGACAACGCTGGTGCACGATCTCACTGCAGAACAGCATTGTGGAACATAACAGAAGTGGGAAATTAACGGATCTTTGGGCAGGATCAAGAATATGCCATTTTTCCAGATAAGGCACAGAAAATAGAAAACCTACATTAATGCTACTGACAGGCTGCGTTACATTTGCCTTTTTTTTTATTTTGCCCATAGTTCTATTTTAAGTTACCAGAACCTTGATGCAAAACCACCACCAACCAGCAGCACATACACACATGCAGGCTAACCGAGAGCTCCGGTGGGCAACACGCCTCTCTGGTTCCTGGGTTTGAACCCCACTTGGGGAGATGGTAAAGTGCTTATATGTCCTCCTTATGTTTATGTGAGATTCCTCCCGGTAATCCAATTCCCTCCCACAATCAAAAAAAACCCAGAATACTTCCTTCCGCAGCCCCCCGTGTGCAAACAAGCATGGATGAATTTGCTGTCTGCTAACCTGTTGCCTGTTTTTTGTCAGTTGATCTCGCCTCCAGTGCTCATCACTAAAGAACACAATATATAATATACTTAAAGACTATTCTCTTTATACCGGGGCTACAGTGTATAATCCTTAAAATGTCCCCTCAAATCCAGGCATTAAACCAAACCTATGGAAGTAATAAACTTAAAACCAAACAAATCATATTCCCTTAGATGAATTAAGTCCTGGGTACACACTGTAAGGCAGGGGTAGCCAATCTCCGGCCCTCCAGCTGTGGAAGAACTACAAATACCATGAGGCATTGCAAGATTCTCACAGCCACAGACATGACTCCCGGAGAGAAAGATGCATCATGGGATTTGTAGTTGTCACCACAGCTGGGAGGCCGGAGTTTGGCTACCCCTGCTGTAAGGGATATCTAGTAAATATCCCGCTGCCAAGATAAAGGTGGGCTGTGATCCGCCGAAACGTTGATGGATAAAGCCTTGGATTATTTATGCTTTTTCAAATACCTGTCAGTGCACTGACCTTCATGCTTCTTCCATGTAATAAAGTGTAAATGTCACAGGGGGCACTTCCAGCATGTTTGACCCTTTTTTTAAATCTATAAAACCCTGGAAAACCCTAAAACCCGGGGGAACTCTGCTATGTAGATAACAACCAGCTTCTGTGGCTGTACGCAGACCCAGGTCCACCCCCACCATCCATCACAAATAGGTCAGAAGTTTTAGTAAGTGGGTTAAAGCCAATGACCACAGAAACTGGTTGTGTATCTAAAAGAGACCTTTCTGGCTTTCTCCGGGGCGCTCGAGTGGACACAGAGAACAGGCACATGTCTTTCCTGCCTGCGGATTGATTTTCTTTTTGCAGCCACATTGGATAGTTAGCACAACTCAACAGTCTCAAAGTTCAGTGCTGTGCAAAGACCACTCTCAGCTATCAATGGGAGGCAGGCCTGGAAATGGATACACCATCTACCTGCCCATGGCTTCTGGTTTTCAGTCAACCATAAAAGTGGTATAAAAGGCTACCTCGCTGCTTAATATCTGTGGGCATCAGTCTTTGGGCTTTCTGGGAACACCAACTGCTGAGCTATGTAAACGTGTAAGCCGAGAATTCTCGACTCCTCCTATTGTAGACTCCATGCTTCAACTGGGACACAGATGGAGGGGGAAGCTGCACAGCACAGATTCATGAGGGACAATCCATCACGTTTACACACATTGTTGCAGCGGGTACTTTAATTGAATTAATCCATACACAAACCAAGCGCAACATACCGGCACACATCCAAACGTTCAATCGCATCCACAATCATATGTAGAAGTTTTCTGGAATCTGGGTACAGAACAAAGACTAGTTTGTCACTTTAGCACAACTTTAGCACTGCCTCCATTACATGCCTGGATACCCTTCAAAGCCAATAGGAATGTGTTTAGTACCAGTTACAACAAACTCCTTTTTATTGTTTTAGTAATTACATATTCTACTGACTCTCTCTTGTCTGCATTACTCTAAACTTGCTATTTCTGAACAGTGAAGAAGGTTTCACTAAACTGGTTTGGGCTCTTCGGTGGCCTTGGCCTTCAGAAGCTTCCTGAAAAAATGCCTAAACTATTCGCCTCCCATCCAATTGCCTCAATAATGTTTCTGCGCACACACTGGCTGTGAAAGTAATTGAGCAGGTGAATTGCAGGAGACCTGGTACACATCTTCATAGAGATGGGAATCTCGTCTAGGCAAGTCATACAATGCATGTTATAGCAGATTATACAGGAAACAGGAGGATCCTGGAGAGATGTTTGCTGCCTCGCATGGAAGGTTGGCAGGCATCTCGGGACAGTATGAAATCTCCTACAGCACCACTGCTGGTTACTGCTACTGCTAGGCTTTGCTATACAACTTTGCATGCTCATCAGTGAGAAATGCCACGTATTGTAATATCTGACTTATCCAACCTTGTATGTACAGCGCAAGAGACACCTGTACGTGTGTGTGTGTGTGTGTGTGTGTGTGTGTGTGTGTGTATATATATACATATATATACACACACACACACACACACACATATATATACACAT